TATAAGTGTAACTTGGGAAATGAGCACTGTGACATTGATGTTAACGAAATCGAAATCGAGAGGGAGCGATTACGCAATTTTCTTGCTTTGGCTGATGCTAAAGTTCAAGTTGACGCCAAGAAAGGACCGCTAGAGCTCCTAGAATTCATACAACAATATAACTATGGCATTTGCGTGCCAAATATAGTGATTATGCTTCGAATTTTTTTAACTATAGCTATCAGTGTAGCTTCTTGTGAACGTAGCTTCTCGAAGCTGAAATTAATAAAAAATTACTTGCGGTCCACCATGAGCTCAATAAGATTGAGTGATTTGGCCATTTTGTCAATAGAACAAAGCGTGACGGACAAAATTAATTTTGAAGAAGTTATTAATGATTTTGCTGCGCGTAAGGCCAGAAAAGTAGAATTTTAGTTTTATAGTTTACAACAGTATACTTTTCACGTTCACAGTTTACACGTGACCTGTATATTATATGGTTTGGAAATAAATATTTTTCGCACTGTTCTTCCAGATGATTACGTTATTTTTTTTTTCACCTTCACCAACATGATTATTTTTTGACGTCAAAGGGGCGGCAAATTATGATTCCGCCCCGGGCGGCAATGACCCAGGCTACGCCACTGGAAACATGCCGTCTCTCAGACTGCGAACTTCAAGATGTTCAAAAAATTAGAGTAAGGCGAAAAGCAAGCAATAACTTCGCTGAAACTGATACTGGATGTTTATTTTATGTGTTTAATACGTAAAATGCTCATTTCAAAATGATACAAGAACATAAAAGAAACATTTTTATTAACTATGCTAAAACCATACAAAAATAACGCTGTTGTTGCAACATTCAGAACTAAATTAAAACTATGGAAAAGTCTCAATATTTTTCTATTTTCTAGTTAAGTAATGAACAAGGAAAGTATATTATAGTCAATAAATACAAAAAGAACACAATCAAAATTCACTGCAAGTCTCAAACATTGCCTATATTTATGCAGCTAATACATTTGGGTTTGGAGCATTGAAGACATACAGGCTTCCTACATTGTACACACAAAAATTTGGTCATCCGATGGGTCGTTCGGTGATAAAAAGCAGGCTTTCCTTTTTTCCAAAACCAAATTTTCAGCTTCTGTTGCTGGATGTTCACATTTGCCAAGGATGCGATTTATCGTAAGTCGCAAATCCCGAGGTAAACGGGGACTCTCTAGTCGCTTTTCCATATGCTCACGGACCAGGTTAGCGGCCAACATCTTAGCAAATACCGATTTTTCCTTCTGCAATTCATTTTTCTTATAGCACTGGTGTAAAATATACGAGTTCACTACCGATATATCCAATAGTCGGTAGAAAATAACCAGTGGCCACCTACGCGAACGGCGACTTGAGGTACTCTTCGAACATTTTTCATCAAGAGAATCAACTCCACCTTTATTAGCATTGTAATAGGCTATTATTTCCGGTTTCTGTGTTTCCGGATCACAATATTTTCTGTGGTGCATAGAAGATATGAGTATTGTGGCTTTATTTTTTTTGCTTACATGAGACACAATAGTGGAATCTTCTCGAAATCCGTACATTGTTGATCCGACTTCTCTTGATTTGTTGGGTAAAATGCCGGAGGAATTTCTCTTTTATTTTTCTTCATTGTACCCACATAGGTCAGTTTGTTCTTCAATAGGACATCCATTAATTCTATTGACGTAAACCAGTTGTCCGCTGTAATGTTGCGATTAGTTCCAAACAGAGGCTTCGCGAGACGTAGAACTGATTGTGTGGGTTTGGAATACCGCTTGTGTTCCTCAGGAAGTTCGAAACTATCGGAATCTTTACCGCAGTATATATATGCGTTATAGAGGTAGCTATTCCTTGCATCCGTCAATGCCATAATTTTTATGCCATATTTGCAAGGTTTCGCAGGCATATACATTTTAAATCGACATCTTCCTCTGAAACTCACGAGCATTTCATCGACAGTGACAGACTGGCCAACTCCGTACACATCTTGACAGTTCTTTATAAAACTATTAAAAATGAAAGATATTGGTGCTACTGGATCTAGCTTCTTTCTTTCATTCCTGTCATCTGGGTTATCAAACCTTAAGGCTGACAGGAGAATACCAAATCGTTTTATGTTCATGACAGCTCTGAATATATCTCTTCCAGAGCCATCGGTGGCAAAAGTGTTTCAATGTTCTCGTGGTTGCTGTTGAACACCGATGTATATACTAAGAGACCCAATAGTGCCTTTATTTCGACTAAATCAGTGTCGTTTAGGTTGCTGGTTTGATTTTTGTATCTCTTTCGCATTTCTTTGAGCTTGTGATTGGTCCACTTAACGATATGTACCAACATGTCGTCAGTGAACAAAAGCTGCCAAACCGTCAACGGAGCTGCTTCTTTTCCATATTCATGAGCTTTTCCTCTTAGAGTTGGTACTTTAATGACTATATTGTGCTTCCTTGTACGTGATGATGGTACAACTTCCGAAATATTCCACCTATGACGATTTTTTCCATAGAAATAATTCTGAGCTGGTAAATCCTCTTCATTTCCTTCGGCTCCGTCTTCTGATAACTCACTATCACTTGTATGATCTGATTCCATGTATTCGTCTTCTGAGGCACTGTCTATATCACTAAAGTCACTTCCTTCATCCTCAAACCATTTTAGAACGGTTTCTTCGAACTCCGGATCATCGTATCGTACACGTTTAGAAGGTCCCGCCATACTCGCAAACGCACCTATGCAACACAAATAGCAAACGGGAACGGAAACGTGAAGTGTGACAGACTGCAACAAACTAAAATTGGTCCATATTTTAAGGCACGTTTTGGCTAGACTCGTGTGAATGGGGGTGGGCGATGGTCACTAATAGCTTATGGATTAGATGGGTTTTTACGTCTGTTAGAGGTGCAATAAAAAAAGATACGCTCAGGTATAGAAACGCCGCAGTCTCACAGACGGCACCTTTCCGGTTAAGGGTTAAAATAGGAATGTTCGAAGAATCAGAATCTATGAAATCAAGTTTTTACTGAGAGCTTGAGCTCATATTGACTTCGAAACCATTCGATAATCGTTATATGTGTAATGAACAGTATTTGAAGTATATCGAAGACATTAAAGCTACAAGAAAAGCCACGAAACGTTCGACTTTACAATATCGCCGTTTGGAGCGTTTCGACGTGTGTTGCATTGGTGACATCGAGAAGTTAATTGCTCCTTTATCCAATGGCAAAAATACCGAGGACCTCAAATACTACGTTAAGAATCAAGACCTGTTCGATGTTCTTCATGAAATACACGTGAAGACTGAACACGGCGGAAGAAATAGGATGATTGTAGAAGCTAAGTACAAGTACGCAAACATCACTCACGAGGCTGTCCTTATTTATCTTCGTTTTTGTAAGTCAATGAAAATTCTTAGAGATGCAAATTTTGTTTTTATTCCAAATATCTGTATGTTATGTAATTGTTTAGTTTTTTATAAAAATGTAATTGTAGCAATCATGCTAAATAAATCTCAAACAAACAAACAATGTCAAATGAAACAAAATTCAATCAAAAAAGGTCATATCGTGAAACCCATTTTATCTAATGAGCTGAATAGCCGTTGCAAGGTAAACTTGATAGATGATATCTCCTGACGAAGTTCGTACTGCTACGCCCTTTACAAAGATTATATTTTATATTTTGCGTATTCGGATCACCATCTATATTGCAATCTGATAATATTCGGGAGGTCGTTAACCGAGTTGTGGGAAATTTAAGAGAAATGTGGCCAGGTCTAAAGATTGTGCATGGGAAGCCGCGCCCTAGGCACTCTCAAGGTAGCGTAGAACGTCCAGTCAAGATGCCGAAAAGATGCTCATGGTGTGGATGACCGATGAAAATTGTCGAAAATGGTCTGAAGGACTAAGATTCGTTCAACTAATGAAAAATATAGCATATCATCATGGAATTGAAAGATCGCCCTACCAAGCAATGTTTGGTTGTGGTGCTAAAGTTGACTCAATGTCATCAGATCTGCCTCTCGAAGCAAACGAAAAGATCGAGAATGGGGAGGATCTGAAGAAAATACCTCAACAGTTGAAAAATAACCAGGTAAATAAGAGAGAAATCGAATCCCATGGAAATGAAATTACAGGAAAAGCAGTTTGCCAGCTTTGTGACCAGAAGGGAGGTGAAAAGTGTGACTTGTGCAAAAAGAAACAAAATAGACAATAGTAGGAAAGGTGCGAAAATGTCTTTAGTATTACAGGCTAATAAAACGACAGCGTCTTCAAATGAAAAGTTTCATTAAGAAGAAAAATTTCCAATATCAAAAATTAAGAATCTGACATAGCCCCAACCTTTGCAAAAAAACTGTCTTCCTTTTCTCACCCTGTATAAGTGAATAAATATAAAAAATATATCGGTCTACGAGTTCTCAAAAAGTTGGTTAAGAACCTCTCGAATACTGCAACTCGATATCTCTTTGCGTTCCGAAAATATCGAGATTTTAATTTTGGTAAAATTTTCCATGTTGCAAAGCAACTGTCCCATTTGTAAAAATGATAAGGGATTAACTAAACATGGGAAGTTCTTCATCAAAAATTATGATACTTTTACTAAAACAAAATTTTGCTATAGAGTCATCACGAGATCTATTTGCAGCTGTGGAATTTTCTTTCATTTTCTCGATACTCTGTAGATTTGAAGTAGAAAGTATTGTGACCTTGCGTTCATAAAAAACTAGGAAGTAAAATATTCGGATGTGGATGAATTTTGGACAAAAATGCCAAAATTGCGAACCTTGGGTTTTTAAAAAACAATTTAGTACTGAAATGAAAAATGAAAATGTTAATTTCAGTTTGAAATATTTAAATGCAAACATTTCATATTTGCGATTAGCTTGAACTTCAAGTTCTTTCACAGCCGAAAAACCTCCGTATGGACGCCCATCCTTTGAAAAATAAGAGCCATTTACTTTTGGAAGAACTAATTTTTCTGACAAAAATACTAACCTGGGTTAGTCTGATCAAGGAATTCAACTGCCTAGTAGTGATGGGTGTACAATCTCCTGTTTTAAATTGTTTCCTCAAGGATAAATAAAATTCTTTTATAATTTCCTTTGCTTCGTCCGACAGATAAGGTTTGACATATTTTTGAGCATAAGCTATATATTTTCTGAATAGTGGATGTGGAAGATAATCTATGATCTCGCCCGTATTTCTCAAACGTTCTCTAAAAGGTGAAATTGACTACTTACTTTATGGGGAAAATGCTACACGTTCAATATTTATAGTGATCAGTAGATATTCACCATAAAACATGATATTTATTGAACGCCTAGCATAGTGCAGGGTGGCCAACTAAGAACGCGCGGTCTGTATTTGGGAACCTATCCATCGAAGAGGCTTGCGGCAAAAAGAGTTATTACTAAAACGGCCAAGAGTAAAACCCGGAAAATATTTTCAAGTTTATAAAATGGCCGATAGGGGGTGTAACTGCAATCTTGAATCTAATAAAGTGATGTTTCTGCGAATTCTGCTATATTAACCTAACAAACAAATACCGGCACGGGTATTATGTAAAAAACCTATAAAACGTCAAAAAACAATAAGATGTCATCTCGTAGACTGTGCAAACAGTCAGTCCACGTTTGCTCACTAGGATCGTTGTGAACGTCCATCTATGGAGAAATCACTCAACTAAACTACACGCATTGTTGGTTGCATAAGTTTTGTGAGGCGAGTGGTCTGTGTCTAAAGTTTTTATCTCTGAGAAGAAAGTTGGTTGAATAGCAAGATCGCATCTGGATGGTTATGTGTATAAAATCAGTGATATTTGCTGTATGAGAAAATCATTACTGATTATGCTGCCAATGAAATATATCTTTTAGCTGTGCCCGACGGGTTATTTCTAAAGACAGATTATGTTCAAAGTTATAAATCACGAAAAACTTTGAGGAGAATTACGGGAAATCATCAAAGCGCCCGCGTTGTGTATAATTACTGTTAGCATGTATATGACTTGTAATTCGACAGTGTACAGTGAATATAATTATTTCTTATCTCACTCATTTTTGAAATTCAGCAAATTTGCATATGTAATTTCCCGGATGGATAAGAAAAAGTGGATGCGCAACTAATTTCTAGCTTGGAATCTCAATTAAGTGTAACACTGATATGCGAAGCCTCATGACGTGTAGGCAACACGTACAATAAGTGCTAAGTTAACATCTCGTCGAAAAACCTACATAATGTCAAAAAAAACAGTATAATGTCAAAAAAAAATCGATATAATGTCACTTCCCGTGCCTGTCTTTGAAGTCTAGGATAATATGAACACTTTTTTGTTTGACAATTTTTGCTGTATCTCTAAAAATAAAAGTAATACGAAAAAAACACCATGTAACTCCGAAGCGGCCGAGCCGATTTAAAAAAACTTGGGTTAGTTGAAAAGAGCTACTCTTGGGAAATATTAAATAACAGATTTGCATTGTTGATTAAACGCTTGGACATTATTTCGCAAAACTGCAACCTTCCATCAAAATCGTCATCATTAAGCTCATGGACAAGTTTTATCTTCTGCGGGTAAAATTTATTGTTTTTCAAAATTCTTTGTACTGTTGAGCGTGTAAATCCTGAAGAAGTAGCCAGTCCACGAGTGCTTTGGGTGTTGTCAAGCGCTACGTGTCCCAAAACTGCTATTTCTGCGGCATCATTTCTCTCATTTCAATATTAGACACATATCCAGTTTCTTGTTATTTCTACTCTTTCTTGAATTGAATAAGTCATTGTTCAGTATTTATCTCAACTAGGTAGGTAGAAACGAAAGACAAAGTTTTTCTATGATATACGATGACAATGACTGATGCTAAATTTTCTGGAATCCATGATTATTATTTTTGGCGGTGCATACCATTATTATCAGTATTAAGTTAGTCGAATTTTATTATTAACTCAAAAAGCTTCACAGCGATTGAAGATAGGTATAAACTTCATGGAAAATCTGAATCTGAAAAAAAAATGCGGGTTTCCATTTAAAAATCTAAAGTGTAACGCAATATCTTATTTTTAGATCACCCTCTATTATACGGTGATGGAAAGACGTTACCCTAGAAATCAAAATTGACGTGTCCAAGCGTTTTCCCCAAAATATACCCCGAGGGTCACAAATGGAGGTGCGACTTTTTCGTTGGGCCACCCTAGATAATTAAACATGGAGTTTTAATAGGAAATATATTAAAAATTGAAACTTTTAGATAAAATCAATTACCTCAAGGAATCCTGCTCCATGTCTGATTCTTCGAAAGTATTTTCTTCAACGTTGGTTTTGATTCTAGCCGCTTTGTGTAGGCCAAGCACATGTTTTGATAACAACAAATCCATTTGCTAAAAAACATATTAGTTTGCCATAAAAACATATAACAAACATTATTTTTGATTGTATTGAAAGACAAGCAATCCAAACATTCAGAGTATTCTTTGATACTGCTTCCTCTCTTAGGGAGATATTAGTATTTTTTGATATCACTGGTATCAAGTTAACAACTAAATTTTCCACTTTTAAATCTGATGAACTCGAAATGTCGGGTGTCACAATATTCGGTGGACATAGAGGTACCACGTATTTTTTAGAATCAAAATAAGTCGACTGGACATGAACAAACAACAAATTAACAATCAAAAATAAACTCAAACACTACCTACTAATTTAAACTTTATGAGGTTTGTAGTTAAATTAATCAGACACTGACATAACATCTCATTGTCTACTAGATGCCTACTAGATTTTAACCCTTGATGTAATAAGAAAAAGTTTAAGAAACCAGCTCCGAAAAACATTTTTTTTTTCTCGAAAACTTTGCGAGATGTCCTGTTTTTATGAGACAAAAAACGATGTAAATAAACGGATCTTTTAAATAAAAAAAAAATCAGTCGTTTGGTTTTTTTGCAAAAGTCAAATATTTAAACGTCTACAAAGCACACGTGTTCAAAATCGAACTAACGGTTCCAAAAATATCTGCAAAAATGTGTTTCAAAAATAAAACTTTGACGCCCTCTATCGGACAAACGAAGCACTTTTGCATAGAGGTAAATCATGTCCAATATACCATTTCTAAGTCTAAAAAGACATTTTCTAAAATCAATATACTACAACAGTCGTCGCCAACCCGTGAATCGCGAGTTACCGGTAGGTCGCAGAGGCAATTCTGGTGGCGCAGAACATATTTTACAAAGGTGTAAAAATCATAAATGTAAATTTTGTAAATTCCCATAATAAACACAAGCAGTGGCGACACTGCGGTGAGCGATCTGTTCGAGGACGATCTCGATTACTTTGAACGGAATAAATAAGCAAGGCGCGGCGACAGTACGCTCAGTTTAAAACTGAACGGCACTAAGTCCAGGCATTATGAGCAGTAGTAAGAAGATGAAGACATACCATTGCCATTCGGTATGGGAAGAACAATATTTCTTTACAGAAGCTAAAGGTAAAAATGTATGGGATATCGAGAGGCACTATAAAACTGTACATTCGAATATTGAAAAATCATTCCCATTGTTCCGCAACCATAACGGAAAAACTGAAACAATTAAAAAATCAGTTGATTGGACAACATACAATGTTAAAAATAATCAACAAAAGTAAGGCTACAACTGAAGCATCATACCGGGTGTCCCAGATAATTTCACAAAAGAAGAAACCTTAAGAAGACGGGGAAATGATAAAACGCGTTTTTAAAAGCTGCAGATTCATTATTTGCCAACTTTAGAAATAAAGACGAGATTGTCTGCTATAAAATCTATGCAACATTCTGCTAATACAGTGATGAGACGAGTAGAAGTAATGAGCAATGATATAGTTTTACAGTTAAGAAATGACTGTGCTTATATGTCACCGCAGCTGGATGAATCCTCAGATGTCGTTTACACCTCTCAGATGGCCGTGTTCGTCAGGATGGTTTTTAGTGATTTTACGATTAAAGAAGATCTTTTGAAGTTTATTCCACTAAAAGGACAGACTACTGGGCAGGACTTGTTTTCTTCTTTTAAAAATATCATTTTTTCTGAGAAAATTCCAATATCGAAAATTGTAGGCTTGTCAACCGACGGCGCTCCAGCTTTGGTGGGTCGTGATAAGGGTCTCGTGGGGTTATGTCGTAAAGATGAAAGTTACCACTGCATTCTCCAAAAGCAAGTATTATGTAGGAATTTTCTAAAACTAAACAACGTTATAAAATTGGTAGTAAACATTGTGAATAAGATTAGAGATCAAGCGTTACAAAGAAGATTACTTAAAACCTTGGCCGAAGAAATTGACTGTCAATACGGGGAACTACTTCTTCATTCTGAAGTCCAATGGTTAAGTAGGGTACGAGTGCTGAAACATTTTAATGATATCATATCTGCCATAGTTCAATTTTTCAAACAACGTGATGAACCGATTCGGAAACTGGAAAATTCAATCTGGCTTAGAGATTTTGGTTTTCTTGTGGATATTACAGAAAAATTGAATGAACTTAATTTGCAGCTTCAGTGGAGAGACAAAAAACTAGCAGAAATGATTTCTGATATAAAAGCGTTTTTCAAAAAGCTTGAGTTTTGGGAACAAAACTTAATCGATGACGATACCTGGCATTTTCCTCTTCTTACAGACTCAAAGTCCATTAGAGTCATATGATAGTGAATATCATGTAGAAATAGTCTCTAACTTGAAGGATTTTAACGAAATTGCTATTAAAAACAAATACCGCAATCGACTTACAGATGAACATTTGGATACTTTTATTCGAATGGCAATATCAAACTATACTCCAAACATTAAAAAAATTGTCGGTGAGTCTGAGTGTCAGGCTTCTCATAACTGTGCTTATTTTTCACTGCAGCTGGATGTGATTTTACGATTAAAGATCTTTTGCAGTTCATTCCACTAAAAGGACAGACCACTGGACAGGACTTGTTTTCTTCTTTTAAAAATATTATTTCTGCTGGGAAAATTCCAATGTCGAAAATGGTAGGCTGGACAACCGATAGCGCTCCAGCTATGGTGGGTCGTGATAAGGGTCGTAAAAATGAAAGTTTTCCGCAATTTTTCTGTTACCACTGCATTATCCATCAGCAAGCATTTTGTGGACATTTTCTAAAACTAAACAATGTTATAAAATTGGTAGTACAAATTGTGAACAAGATTTGAGCTCAAGCGTCAGAAAGATTATTCAAAACGTGCCCCATGAAATTGACTGTCAATAAGGGGAACTACTTCTTCACTCTGAAGTCCGATGGTTAAGTAGGGGACGAGTGCTTCAGTAAGTAAAGATAAATATTCAGTTTTATGTCGTGTTGCCTTGAAAGTGAAAGCGTTATTTAGTTCAATCTATTTGTGTGCATTTTCTTTTTCAAATATGAAGTTTATTAAAAACAAATACCGTAATCGACTTACAGATGAACATTTGGATAATTTTATTCGAATGGCGGTATCAAATTATACTCCAAACATTAAAAAAAAAATGTGAGTCTGAGTGTCAGGCCTCTCATTGAACACGTATTTTTTTGTTTTTGTTTAAAATCGTGTGCTGCTTTTTTATTTTTAGTTACGTTTATTAAATTGTATGTGACATGCCATTGTAGCTGACGAAAAATTTTGTTTATTTTTCAAACACCTACGATTGGTAGGAATGGATTTAGTATTAGTGTTAGTAAAATAATTACATGTATGTTGCATACAACTGTGTATAATTTCATTTAAGTTGGCTTACATTGCTTACGACTACGTAGCTCAGTGTTTATTCCAAAATTAACAAAGTAGCTCAACACACTGAAAAGGTTGGCGACTACTGTACCACAAGATTAAATCTACAGTCACAGTTAAAATGGAATAATGCGTACTTTAAAGGGAAAGTCGCAATTTATATCAAAACATTGTGAATACAAAACGAACATCAAGGGCGAACGGAAAAAGACAGATTGCACGTACCTACATCTAATCATCGCTCAAGTGCAACAAAACGTGCGTTTCTCGTGTACAAAAGGCATCAAATTCTGATAAACGTGCTCTGATAAAGATGAAAACAAACGTTTTTGGTATACTATTAGTGATCGCTGTTCAAAAAAGGAACACATTGAAATGTATTTTCAGTATGCTCTGTCCTCCTGCCCTTTGCTAAGACATGCACAATCTAGAAAAGTTCGCTCTTGCAAAGATTTTGAAATCGAATTTAAATGAAAGTCGAGTCTTTCCGTTGGGAGTGAGGCTTGTATTTAGTTTCTAGTTCGCTTAGTACGCCCATGGAACAAGTTAGTCGATTTACTTACTTCGTATGTCATTGATACATAACTGTATGCCGGGTGTTTGAAATTTGACCCTCACCATTGGGATCTCGGAAACCGTAAGAGCTATACAGTCCTTTAAATTGGGGCAAAGTTGCGTATTTAGTAACTAACAAAATGCTGATTGGAAAAAACGATTTTTCCCTGGCTTTATTGCACTTGCGACATTTTCTCCTCTAAAAGATGACATAATTAGAATTTCAATTAGTCTTTTGTCCTCCAGCATCAACTTTATTTTTTTTTCATACACGCCATATTGGATTTATCCATATATGAATAGAGATTTTAACTCTGATTCCAAGCATAGTCAAATTTTCAATTCGATGTTTTTTCTTTCCACTTCCATCACCAAATTTATTTTTTCATGTGGACTATATTGGAATTTTGTATGGAGGGGGGCCAACTAAGAATGTGAAGTACTTTATCTGGGAACCTATCCATCGTAGAGGCTTGCGGCAAAAAAGTTCTTACTAAAACGGCCAAGAGAAAAACCTGGAAAATATTTTCAAGCTTCTGAAATAGCCTCTAAGGAAGGTAACTGCAATCTTGAATCTAAAAAAGGGATGTTTCTGTGAATTACGCTATATTAACCTAACAAAAAAATACCTGATCGAGGACAATGTGAACTTTTTTGTTCGACAATTTTTGGTGTATCTCTAAAAATAAAGTGGTAGGGGCGTATTCAAAGGTTTCCGTAAAACATCCTGTATCTTCAAAGGTTTCCGTATCTTCTAAACGGCTGAGCCCATTTTGAAAAAACTTCTAGTTGAAAAGAGCTGTTCTTCTTCTTTGTAAGTTTCACATGCGGCCGCCAGAGGGGAATCCCTTAAATTTTTATTTTTTCAAACTAATTTTTCTGGAATTAGTTTTTATTCATCAGAATGAAATATTACAAAATATCGCTAAAAGCTAAGTAATGCTAATAACAAAAGGCATATTTTTTGTTTAAATGCATATTTATTATGGGTATATTGTAAATTTCGAATGTGCAGGGATTAAAGCTGTACATACACCTAAAGTTAGCGATCACAGTTGGACAATGCTGCCCTTGGTAGGGCATTTTTCTGATACAAAAATTAAGAAAATCGTAAATACTATTAAGTACGAAAAACTTGAACGAGAACTTGCTGGCTGCTATTGGAATTTTGGTGAGAATATGGAAAAAATATATGACAACATAATAGGAAATATAAAAACTTGTTTAGATCTTGCAACTGATAAAAAAGTGATTTGCTCGACAAAAAATACACCCTGGTATAACAAGAATATTAAGGCAGCTCAAAATTTGAGAGACAAACAATACAATAAATGTATATTCACAAAATCAAATGATGATTGGGAGGTATATAAAACTCTTAGGAATAAATGTGTATATGTAATTAGAGAAGGAAAAAGGAAATTCTACGATAAACAAATCGATAATAACAAGTGCGACACTGTAAAGATGTGGAAGACTTTAAAAAGACTGATCAATTCGAAGCCGCATGATTGTGTAAATCAAGTTCAATTCGAAAACGGTACCGAAACAAATTCTTTGGTGATTGCAAACAAACTAAATGAATATTTTGTGGAAAGTATTGTTGATATTGTGGGTACTGCGATTGCTGCACCTGACTATATGAAAATCAGTTTCCAGGGGGAAATGTTGCATACACTTTCAAAATTTCACAGCGTATCATTGAATTATCTAAGAAAAAAAGTAAACAGTTTAAAATCAAATAACAACTGTGCCGAAATGACTACTAAAAACGTGCTGAAAAACTGTTTCGAAATTTTGGGATATCCTGTATTAAATTGGATCAATTGTTCACTGAGAAGCAGTCGGTCTCTACAATAACACCAGTTCCCAAAATAAAAAATTCTAAAAGATGCAGCGATATGAGACCAGTAAATTTGTTACCAGACATTGAAAAATTATTAGAGTCCATAGTCCAATGAATGCAGTTTATAGAAGAAAACAAAATTTTAGTGGAGGCGCAAGCAGGCTTTCGAAAAAAATATTCCACAGAAACAGCTTTCCAGTTGGTAACTGAGAATTGGAGAAGAGCGATAGACTCAGAAGAAGTTGTCATAGCAGTATTTTTGGATTTGAAGAGGGCATTTGCAACGATTGATAGAGATATTTTGTTAGGTAAATTGAAGGCATATGGTATAACAGGAAGTGTTTTAGATTGGTTTAGAAATTATTTGTCTAAAAGGATGCAAGTTACAAAAGTTAATGACACTATTTCATCAAAAATTGAAAATACGTTGAGTGTTCCACAGGGCAGTATCCTGGGACCACTTCTTTTTATTTTATACATAAATGATTTACCTGCCATAGTCAAAAAATGCAAAATTCAGATTTTCGCCGATGACACTATGATTTATATAAGTACTAAAAATATTCAGTCTGGTATCTCTTATATAAATGAAGACTTGAAGCTTGTCTCAAAATGGTTAGCATCTAACAGAATAAAATTAAATGCAAGTAAAACGAAAGCCTTGTTAATCGGAAAAAAACAATGTACAAATGTTCAACTGAATATTGATGGTGAAGATACTGAATTCGTAGAAAATTTGAAATACCTGAGGGTTTTTGTTGACTCTCGATTAATTTTTGATATTCATTATGAAAAAGTTATAAATAAGATTAGTAGTAAAGTGGGATATTTATCGAGAATTTCTGGATGTCTGAGTTCATATAGCAGAAAAATTATCTATAATACCATCATTCTTCAAAATTTCTTGTACTGTTCGACTATTCTATATTTAGCAAATAATTCCATTTTTGAAAGACTGCAAATTTTACAAAATAAGTGCATGAGAATAATACTAAATAAAGATAAATATACTCCAATTAGGCAAATGCATAGCAAATTAAAATGGCTCAATGTAAAAAAAAATATCAAATATCTTGTAATGATATTCATTTATAAAGTAAAAAATAATATATTTCCATCAAGTCTAACTAATTTAACATCATCAAATGTCGACCATCATTTACATAATACCAGAAATAAAGATGACTTCCATTTAATGACCAAAAAGTATAACATATGCTACAAATCTGTATTCCATCAAGGGTTGATTGAATATAATAAATTATACTCGGAGATAAAAGACCAGAAAACTTTGACAAAATTTAAAGTAAAATTGAGAAATCACTTGTTAAATCTACAATTATAGGTTGCCCAGCATTTACATCATACACCATATGGCTTGAATTTACTAGTCCTAAGTTGTTTACAATTGTTCTGTTTATGTAGCCAAATGTGCTAAATAAATCTTTCTACTACTACTACTATATACGAAAAATACAATTAATAGAAGCATGCTTTGGAATACAAGTCGCGAGCTTACGAGCCAATGGTAGTTTTCGGCCTATGTTTCAGCGGCAAAGAATTGGAAGAACACAAGAAAATATTAACTGCGTACTGGGATATATTGAAGGAAATACTCATGTTAGCACAAGGGCATTATCCCTTGAGTTGGGCATATCACGAACAACGTTTCAAAATACCATGAAAGACCATAAGTAAGTTCTAATGGCCATCAAAATGTAGGAATTCATTTGAATTTAACTTTTTTTAATCATGTTGTTTTGCATCAGGCATTGAAAGAGGAAGACTTTGATCGGAGGTTGGACTATTGCCATGAGATGTTAGGCATCATACGCGAAAATAGAGAATTTTTATTTCAGATTCTCTGGACCGATGAAGCCACCTTAGTGACGGGAGAGTCAATCTGCACAATATGCATCATTGGTCTGCCCAAAAACCGCATTGGTTGCGTGAAGTTCAGCACCAAGGGTGTTGGCGTTTAAATGTGTGGTATGGCATACTGGAAGGCAGAATTATATTTCCATATTTTTTCGAGCAATCCCTAAACGGCAATGTCTTTCTTGCCTTTTAGGGCAATCATTTACCATTCTTGTTGGAAAATGTGCCACTGGAAACACGGCGAAACTTGTTTTTGGAGTTGGATGGTTGTCCAGCACATTTTGCTATTATGCGAGAGCATATTAATGCAGTATTTCAACAGCGGTGGATTGGAAGAGAAAGTCTGTTTCCATGCCTTTCGCGATCATCAGGCTTAACTTGATTTTTATTTATGGGGACGGTTGAAGGGCATTGGTTTCAGACTCAACCTTCAACCAGAGAAGATACGAAAAATCGAATTCATAATGCATACCAAGAGCCGATAATGAAGCTGCAGTTTTGTCTACCTATGAGAGTCTTCAGGAATGCATAGAGCGTGATGTTCAGCATTTCGAGGCATTTACGGAGACATTAAGAACGGTTCTTTTTTAAATCGGTCCTTTTTAGGGCCACAACTTGATAATAAAAATTAGTTTAAAAAAATGAAAATTTATTGGAGTTCCGTATAAACTTTTCTATTTAGACATCATTTGGCTACTTTTTGCATTTAATTTTTTGAGAAGTGTCGTAAAAGATCTTTTAGCGGCCACATGTGAAACTAACAAAACTTCCAATATTATAACATTTGTAGCCCAAGTTAGTTAAAATCGTCAGCTGTTTCAAAGATACAACGTGTTTTTTACGGTTTTACGGACACCCTTGGGAACCCCCCCCCCCCCCAACACTTTATTTTTAGAGATACAGCCAACATTGGCAAACAAGAAAGGTTCAGATTATCCTCGAATTTAAATATCAAGTTCTTTTGTTAGGTTAATATAGCGGAATTCACAGAAATATCAGTTTTTACATCCAAAATTGCAGTGACGCCCCCTAGCGGCCATTTCAGAAACTTGAAAATGTTTTCCATGTTTTTCTCTTGGTCATTTTAGTAATAACTGTGTTTACCGCAAGCCTCTACGATGGATAGGTTCCCAGATATAGTACCTCGCACTTTTAGTTGGCCATCCTGTACATTTAAGTACTGTTAAGAATAAATTGCTTCAACTAAATATCGTGACATAAATAAATGTATTATATTCACAATTAAATGCAAAGTCAAAAATTGTGTTCGATTGTGGATAATTTCAATATGGAGGCCATAAGAAAAAACAAAGTTGATGATGGAGACCGAAAGCAGAAACGTCCAATTGAGAATTTGGAATTTCTTGTAAGGAAAAATAGTGACAATGGTAATATGCAATTTATTTTAAAATCACATTTCAAATAAAAGGAAGAAATAAACAAGGATTTTGTGAAAAATCCTGTATGCGAAACAAATAACTATCTGATGATTTTAAGGCCTACCTGTTTTTGAAATAACTAAGGTTTGTCTATGTCCATGTATAACATATTATATAATTTAGGAATCACGATTATAAACTCTATTCATCTGTGCAAAAATTCAATATGGCCAAAAAATGAAGTTGATGCTGGAGGACAAGAGACGAAACGTCATATTGAAATTCTAATTATTCCATCTTGTAGAGGAGAAAAAGTGGCAATGTAAAATTCATTTTGAAATCCCACTACAAATGAAGTCAGGAAAAAATTAAAACGATTTTGGGAAAATTCGTTTTTCCTCTCTCTCCGGAAGTGCTTTATATTTTGAAACTTTCTAACCTGTATTTTGCTACCTACTTAAATACGCAACATTGGCCCCATTTAACTTTGTATCTCTCGCCGTTTCCGAGATCCAAATGGTGAGTGTCGAATTTGAAACACCCGGTATAGAATACTCACCTCGTTTGGTTGATCCAGTAGGATGAATATTAAATCAAAACGGGAAAGCATAGGCGAACTAATTTTCAGATTTTCTGCAATAGTTTTCGCTTTATTATAATGTCCGCCAGCGGGGTTTGCAGCAGCTAAAATCGATGCTCTTGTAGGTAAATTGCAAACTATCCCCGCTTTTGCGACGCTAATACTTTGCTGCTCCATAGCTTCGAGTAGACACTAAAAAAGGCAATATTGAACTTTTCAAAGTTTATGGATGATGTGTGCACTATGGTGGAAATGAACACAAAGTCACTATTACAAGCCGACGACTATATCCGCCCTACGTCACGGTAAGACCATGTAACCCGTAAACCACTTGTGTCAGAGGTAAAACCTTGGAGTCAGAAAATTAGAAAATGCTGAAAGTTTCTTTTGATATAATAATAATGATAATACTAATAAACCGTCTTATATTAAAAAGACAAATTACAGATAATGCATATTACCTATAATTAGATTAGTGAGCAGCTTAATGGCGAAGTTTAGCTATGGCAGCTATTCTTACACTTAACCATTTACTGTATCAAAATAATTGGTGGTAGAAAAGCACAGCTGTAAATAAAATAAAAGGAGGAAAATGCACATGAAACTGATCACAACCTAAACAAATGTTATCATAAAAATATAATGCTGGAGAAAAATACCTTTAAGAAGCACCATTGAGCGGAAGAGATTTTAAATGTTTTCTAAAACTATACAGAGGCAGCCTTTTTGTTCTATAATCTAAGCTATTGTACAACAAGCATGCATTATATGAGAAGAACTGGTTAAAAAGAGATGAACTATGAAGGGGCATTGTTAAAGAGGATGTGTTACGAATAGGTCGTTGATGAACGTTATACCCAAAAATTAGTTTTTCACGTAAATAAATTGGGGTTCCAGAGACAAGTAACTTACGTATAAAGGTTAGGTAATTGTACTTTACTAAATCTGTCATCTTTAGCGAACCTATTAAAGGATAACGATCGGAAACATGGTCAAATTTTCTGAAACTAAATATAAATCGTACGCAGGTATTTTGTACAACAGATATTCTGTTACGACTCGCAACATTTAAACAAGGATAATAAACTAGATTGGAATAATTCAAAATTGATAACACAACAGATTCACACAAATTTTTTCGCACTTCAAAATTCGGCAAATTTGTGTTCATAGACGGAAGTTCTTTGTAAGAGGTTATTTAAATGTTCACAAAACCGCACGTTTTCATCAATTAACACACCTAGGTAATTGACACTTTCAGAAAAAGGTAGATTCTGACATATACTTAAAGAAGCTTTGACTTCAGATCTTCTGTGATTTGAACAAAACAGCACAGCAGAAGATTTAGAAGCTTTGATAGTTAGGTTGTTATTGGCTGAGTAGGTGCAAATAGAGTCAATGTCCTCATTAATTTCCATAGTAGCAGTCTGGAGGTTCTCAGGATAAAAGAAGTAAAGCAGTCGAGTGTCATCCGCATATGACTCTGTAGCTGGGAATTTTGAATGGACTTAGCAATATCGGCTACATAAATTAAAAATAACAAGGGTCCTAAAATTGAACCCTGAGGCACACCAGAATTAACAAAGTGCTCATTTGACAAAACTCCAGAAACTGAGACGCGCTGAGAACGGCAGGTTAGGTATGATTTGAAAAACTGCAGTGCTGTTTTATTAAAACCATAAAATTTTAGCTTAGCACACATCAGTGCGTGATCAATTCTATCAAAGGCCTTGGAGAAATCCAGTGATACTAAGGCGACACACATTTTTTTCTCAAGGGCCCTGATGATGTTGTCCACTAAATTAAGAAGAGCAGTTGTAGTACTGTATGATTTTCTAAACCCAGACTGATGTACTGGGAGTATCTCACTTGATGATCCAAAAAATCTAAGATTTGCAAATACATGATTTTCTCCAAGATCTTTGACAAAACCCTCAACAGGCTGATGGGCCTAAAATCCAAGACATCGGCAGGTTTCCTGATTTTAGGTAGTGGCCTTACTACTGCTCGTCTCCAAGATTAGGAAGGTAACCCTTCTCAAGACTCAGATTGATAATATGGGTCAAGTAAGGTAGTATAATAGGCAGAGATAGCTTAACCATATAAAGAAATATATAGTCAATACCCTTTGCATTTGACTTAAGGCCACTCACAATAGTTTTGATAGTAGTAGGCTCAACCAGAATGAATCAAAAATCCGATTGTCGAACTAGTTATTGTTATAAAAATTGAATGTTGCTTCGTCGGACTGAGCAGGATGAATCACTGATGTAAAATAATCGTTTATAGCGGTTGGATCATTGAGGTGAGACGGAATACTTTCAACATCCTTCCTGGTCTATGACAATCAACAAAAATACAATAGTTTGAGCATTTAAAAAATCTTCAAATTCCTCCAAAGAATCTAGGTTCCGTAAGTCTATTACAAGGCATGTGTTTTGGCAATGGTTTCTTTGTTTGTTTGTTGAAGATTTATTTAACATTAACGTTACACTGTCAATTTTGTATAATTAATTCTTTTACCCATTTTTTCGAACCAATTTTCTGTAATTTTGCATTCTTGTCTATTAAAATTACATCCCTATGCATTTTGGGCATTCATAAAGGTGATTTTTTTAATTTCACCTTAGTCATTTTTAAATTCGAACACTGTCTAATATCATTATTCAATTTATTAAATTCAAATACTTCCTTTTGATATACAGATCTGCTAGTTATGCTACTATTACAATTTTGCAGATGAAAATCTATACTGCCTCTAGTTTCGTAGTTATGATAATGATTGTTTAATTTTGAGATGTTTGCTAAATGTGGTGGTACAAAATGATTTTTTAATTTGAATATGAAAATGAGAACTACAGAACATATGCATTTTTTCACATTCAACCACTTTAATTTTGCAAACATGTCTTCATTTGTAGTAAACATAATAGTTGAACAATATAAGAAAATGGGGGATAATTATTATAGTGTTATACACAATTTTTGGAAACTCTAGAGAAGCAACTTATCTCTTGATTAATCATGAGCCTAATTGTATTGTTTCCTAAATGTTTCCCTACTAACATAAATTTTGTTTTACTAGTGTTTATTTCAAGTTTAATAATATTTAATCAATCCATATTTTTTCAATACCACAGTTCTAAAGCAGCAACCATACGTTTGTGTTATATATACTAATCTATCGTCCGCAAATATCTGAATTTTGCAGTATTCTAAAAGGTCAGAGATATAATTTATATACAGGGTGCCCCAACGAAAAGGTCCCTTTTGTGATTCTCCTGGTATATTTTGGGAAAAACTCTCGGACACGTCAGTTTGGATTTCTAGGAGGACGCCTTTTCATCTATAGCCGTACAATACAGGGTGATCCAAAAATTAGATATCGCGTTACACTTTAGATTTTTAGATGGAAACCCCCATTTTTTAATTTTTAGATTTTCCATGAAGTTTTCAGTAACTTTTCTATAACAAAGTGTATACCTATCTTCAACCGTTGTGTTAAATTAATACTATTCAGGCTGTTTCAGTTTATTGTTGCATAACTTTAAGATTCGATAGAACTTTTAAAATTAATGCATAAAGTCTATATAAACATGGGCCGAAAAATGCGTGGCTTCCTAAATTTCGTGCATTCACAATTGCAAAAAAACGTTTCAGGTTTCAACAGACAACAAAACTAACTGTCAACTAATTGACGTTTAACCTTATTCTGCTTTCAATTTCAAAAATATTTGCAGGCACAGCCTACTTCTAAAAATTATCGAGATACTGACTTTTTAACGTTATTTTATGATAAATAATTAAAAATGCATCGAACCTTAAAAATCGAAATATCTCAAAAAACGGCTAACTATAACGAAAACTCACAGGAGAGCTTTTTTATGTTGGAAAGTGCGAAGAATCATTTTTTTTATTCAAAAAGCAAAAAATTGCACTAAGAAAAATTTTTCGGTCATTTTAATACACTACAGGTACAGTAGAGAGCGCCCTCTAGCGGCTGCAGTAAAACTATGCCCATGGTCCGTTTTGTCGTACCAAAAAACCCTTGTATACCAATTTTCACTGTTATAAATCAAATATTGTTCGAAATATTTAAAAAAAACTATTTTAGAAAGTAAATTTAAACACCCTGTATTTCGGAAGCCATGCATTTTTCGACCCATGTTTATATAAACTTTATGCATTCATTTTAAAAGTTCTATCGAATCTTAAAGTTATGCAACAATAAACTGAAACACCCTGTATATTGTAACAAGAATGAATAGTACTGTTGGCGACATCTGTTGGGGACCGCGAGACTCTCCTTCGGTGCTGGCGACATCTGTTGAGTACAATGCCAGGGACTTTTCTTCGAAATCGACGCGAAGTGACCTCGAAGATTCTGGAATGCCGCTATGTGGCTCACCGGAAAATTCTCGAATCAACGACTCCCTGCGATGCGGACTACATAACTCGACGGCAGGGAGAGGGACGCAGAGTAGAGTACAGTGCAGTGAATGGCGCGATATGGTAATTCGTGAATAAGTAGTTAGACATAGATAGTGGTGTACATAAATGTTCTATCTAGTCAAGTTAAATAAATTAGTGCATTTCTTTTTGTAAAACCCAGTGTTTTAATCCACACCCAAAAGAACCCAGAAAAACGCTACAATATAATGGAATACACGGCAAAAAATAATAATCATGGATTCCAGCAAGAACATTTAGGGTCAGTCAGTGTCACTGTATGTCATAGAAAAACTTTCATTTCAAATTGTTAATTTATCTACCTAGTTGTGATAAATATTGAACAATTACTTTTTTCACTATTCAGGAAAGGGTAGCAATAACAAGACTGTATTACCAAAATGGGAGCATTGCAAGAGCTACTGCCCGGTTGTTTAATGCGTTACATCCAGAATATTAACGATAAGTATGTGGCTAAGTTGATAAGAAAATTTGAAGAAACTGGCTCTGTGCCTAATATTCGCCGTAATCGCCATCGAGAAAATCGACCAGTTAGAAATGAAGCCGCAGTAATAGCAGTTTTGGAACACGTAGCACTTGACAATACCCAAAGCACTCGTGGACTGGCTACTTCTTTAGGATTTACATACTCAACAGCTCAAAGAATTTTGAAAGGCAATAAATTTCACTCGTACAAGATAAAACTTGTCCATGAGCTTAATGAAGACGATTTTTATAGAAGCTTGGAGTTTTGCGAATTAATGTCCCAACGTTTAATCAACAATTCAAATCTGTTATTTTATATTTGTTTCTGGGATGAGTGTACGTTCTATTTACATGGAGCTGTAAATAGACATAATTGTCGATATTGGACATTTGTTTCGAGAGGTACACTCGCGATATCCGGAAAAAATGTGGGTGTGGGCCGGCATTTTCGGAAATCATATTGTAGGACCTTTCTTTATTCCTGGAAACTTGACGGGCGAGACGTACTTTGACATGGTAGAAAATACAATAGCAACGAATTACCAAAATAATAGAAAATGACGATAATTATAATGAAAATTACATTAATTTCCAACAAGTTGGTGAACCTCCGCACTAGGTGGCTCCATTACGACAGTTTTTGGACACCCATTTCCCCAATCAATGGATCGGCAGACGAGGCCTAATCTCCAGACATAAGTCTTTTAGATTGCTTCCTTTGGGGGCATTTGAAAAGTAAATAAAGTTTTTAGTACGAAGCCTGATATAAATGATGATCTTCATCAGCGAATTACGTCTGAATGTAGACAAATAACTCAAGACATACTTGAAAACATTCGAAAAAAGTCTTTATTACTGCTTGGCGGTAAATGGATACCACTTTCAGCAATTATTACCACATTGACCTACCTCTCTATAGCAAATTAATTTTTACTTTAGCTTCAATGTACGAGTGAACTGTAAGTTGTTTTTTGTTTTTCTAATACTCGGAGACTTGATTTTAATGCTAACGTAAAGTCTTTTCACTGGGAAATATATTGATTATTATTTTTACGATATAATCCCTTATTATCGCAATTTCTAGAATTTCCTTCTAAACTCAAATAGCTTCACAACGACTGAAGGTAGGTATAACCGTTAATGTACAAAAGTTACTAAAAACTTTCTAGAGAATCCATAAATAAAAAATGAGGGTTTCCATTTAAAAATGTAAAGTGTAACGCAATATCTTATTTTTGGATCACCCTGTATGGTACGGCTATAGATGAAAAGACGTCTCCCTAGGAATCAAAATTGACGTGTACGAGCATTTTCCCAAAATATACCAGGAGAGCCACAAATGCCTCAATGTTGCTGTTGATCCCTCAGATATTTTATCATCGATGTTGTTTTCTCTCGTACACCCTCCATCTGGAAATTTCGACAGCGAAATGAGTTTACGTTCGGAATTCTTAGTACTCGAGTGATTCATCATAATTTATTTATTTCGTCGTTGTGAAGGGAAAGGGAAGAAAACCGACTACGTAGCTTAGGTGTGAAAATACGCGGACATTTTCAAGATACCCTGGTAAAAGCTAGCCGGTGGTACCGCCTGGGTCGACTGGTCCTTGTCTTTTTATTGTGACTGATGTTAAATAGACCTTATGTGGACCATTGGCCGATTTGTACCGCCACCCGGCAGTCCCTACAGAGATATTCTTTAACGCGTGTACAGCCTCTTGAATTGGAAGAAAGATTGCTATATACAACATCCGGAGCATAAATATATAACTTACAGCATGTTGTGAAGGCATCTTATCAAACTCGTCAATACAACAACATCCTTGATCTGCTAACATCAAAGCTCCAGCTTCCATTGCAAACTCGTTTCCTTCTCTTGTCACACTCACTGTCAAACCAGAGCTAGTGCTGGTGTTGCCACAAACATAGATACCTACGATAAAGCAATAACTAGGGGTGTTTCCAAAAACCGATTCGCTTCGCAGATACATTGGGAACATTTTTGAAAATATCAGTCTTCAGTGAGGAATTCGAAAAAGAAGAGCGGTTTAGGCCCGTATCGTCAGTCGTCCCTACAATTGTAGGGCGCCTTTATGACCTCCTTGATTGTCATAGTTTTCTACTTCTCCGTGTCACCGCTCTATTTTGAGGTTATGTCACAAACATCTATTTGCATCAAATTGTGCTTGCTTTTGAGTTATATCATGTTTTTTCAGCCTGAAATTTCCTACAATTTAAAAAGAAAACATATCTTCACAATAGGAGAGCGCTGACGCTGATACGGGACAACTGTAATCTAGAAATTTTTTAAGGAGAGGAAGGAGTATGACAATCAACGAGGCCATAAACGCGCCCTACAATTGTAGGGACGACTGACCATACGGGCCTTAGAGACATGAATGAAAGAATCAATAATATAAGCAATGATTCGATTTAAAGGTAATGGGAATTAAAAAAACGAAGTACAGACATCAGGCAATACTGAAATTACTCTTTGTATAAATGGATGTGTGTGCAGTGTTCGAGTATTTCTATAAATGTGGTAAGCTATGAGAATCATTTCAAATAAAACCTATTATGCTAAGATCAAATCTGTGTTAGAAGAACTACAGTGTCCGAATGTAAAAAGAATCATTTATTACCCCTCATTTAGAAAACTGCACAAAATTAAATAGTCATTATCTTAACTACAAAACTAGAGGCAGCATAGATTTCGTTTGCCAAATTGTAATAGTAGCAAAATATGTATTTTGAAGAGAGTATTTGAATTTTATAAATTGAATAGTGATATCAAATGGTGTTAGAAAAATGTTTAAGGTGAAATTGAAAAATCAGTTGATGAATATCCAAAATGTAACTAATTTTAGACAAGAATATAAAATTACAGAAAATCGATTAAAAAATGTGTAAACGAATAATTATACAAAATTGACATTGTAGCATTAATGCTAAATAAATCCTCAATAAACAAACAAAGGCATATACGAAACGAAATGGTTTTTTCAAAAAAATTCCCAAATGCTTAAGTGGCATGTCATACTAAGGCTGAAACGTAGCGCTTTAAGCGTCGCGTTAGCATAGGTACTAATGAATCAAATTAGCTACAGAGTTACGAATATAAGTCTCTTATATACAGCGAGTCCAAATAGTGTGTCAAATCTCAATATCTTCTTTACTATTAGAGGTGCAGAAAAAAGTTAACACAAAAGTTGTAGGACTATAAATTTTTAGCTTTAGAGGGTGCCCCATAAATTAGTAGCAATATAAGATGTTTGTGTATTTTTTTCAAATGGAACACCCTATATTTCTGTTGATCTCTAGAAGCATCTTTTCTTGGTCATTCTGCCAATGTATGGTTTCGGGGTATTTCGAAATGTATGGCCACTTGTTCGTTAAAATCTTTATACATTATACATATCTTAAACACCACTTTAGACAAAATCTGTTTTATTTTACTGAGTGATGGAAACAGAGGTCGACATTCATATTCAACGTTTTTTCTGTACATATTTCATTCCAGACATACAAGGTGAGTCAAAACAGAAAGATGTAATTTTCTCGAAAAATTTAAATCAAACGCCCTGTATGTCTTTTGTATGCTCCCTGGATTACAGCCCATGTTGAGCTGCCCCTGTTCATATGTCTACCAAAAGAAAGTTACGTCTCATGTTGGAAATCTCGCATTGGAAGGTCATAAGTCACACCCAGCCGTGACAGACTCTCAGTAGTTCATTCTGTTTAGGGATATACTGCTTCTTATTTCACAAACCAGGGGATTTTTCGTCTAATACGATCAGACTACATTAATTTTGATTTGTATTTGTGGTCAGTTGAACTGAAATCTTTTCACATAAGCAAATGATTGTTGAAGTTGAAAAGGTACTTACCTCTGGGAGCCACATTTGCACATGCCTGTAGCATCTGACTCTTTCCAAGACCAGGATCTCCAACAATCAACACATGAGATTCACCTCTGAACGTTTCACTTTTTGTTCCACCGAAAAGAGACAACAAAAGCCCTGCTTTCACTATCTCGTGACCACATATGCTAGGACAAATACAGTGGACCAAAAATTTGAACAGGTTTGGATGAGAATGAATTTCCTGAAAAAAATACATCAAACATTTTAGCTATAAAGAAACGGGATAAACTGTCTTAAATAGTAATAACTTATTGGATAGGGATACGTATGTAGACTACAGAAACAACCTAAATAAAATAATTAAAAAACAAAAATTTAACAATTATAAGGAACAAATCAATGAAAAACAACACGATTTTAAAAAGATTTATACAATTATTTCTGATGCTGTTAATGAAAAAAGTAAACAATCTAGCAAAATTGAAATTAGTGAAGATAATAACAAAACATTCACAAATGATAAACAAATGGCTGAATACTGCAACCATTTTTTCATTAATGTAAGGAAGAAAATGGCTTGCAAAATTAAAGCCCCTGATATTCCCTTTAAAATTAAATATAAATCATTAAGTTCCATGTTTTTAAAGGCTGTCAACAGAAATGAGATTATTAAACATATCAGTTCATTGAAAAACAACTGTTCACCCGGTTTTGATGGAATACAGATGAAAATTATGAAGCAATATCATTTGTACTTAATTGAGCCATTAGTACACATCATAAATCTAATTTTTAAAACTGGCTGTGTACTCCAATGCTATAAAACGACTATTGTTACCCCAATATATAAATCTGGAGATAAAACTAAAATTACAAATTTCCGTCCAATTGCAGTTACTACGAATTTCGCTAAAATATTCGAAAAGTGTCTTAAAGAGAGATTATCAAGCTTTTTATCTAGTAATAATATTTTGTCAGAAAATCAATTTGGTTATCGCAATGGCATCAGTACCTCAGATGCGATACTTAAGCTTACAAGAACCATTTCAAAAAATCTTGATCAAGGAAAGAAATGCATTGTGGCCTTCCTAGACCTTGAAAAGGCATTTGACACAGTGCCTCATGACTCCCTTCTAGATGTCCTCGATATTTATGGGATAAGGGGTGTTGTGTCGGAGGTTTTTGCGAGTTACTTGGCAGGTAGAATACAGAGGACTAAAATCGGAAATGTGATCAGTGACTCGTCAGAAATAGAAATGGGCACACCACAGGGCACCGTTATTGGGCCATTACTATTTATATTACATATATACACTCTTTGATAGATATTATTCTAGAAAATGGTATGGTGGTTTCATACGCTGATGACACCATCGTGGTCTTTGTGGCGGAAACATGGGAAGAGGTATATGAAAACACATCTCTTGGATTAGGAAAAATACAATGTTGGCTTGATTCATCTAAACTTAGTTTAAATGTGGATAAAACTAATTACATAGCCTTTTTGCTTAACATCTGCAAATCGACCAAATTTTAACAGCATAGAAGTAAACAGTTTTGAAAATGAAATAAAAGAGGTACCATACACCAAATACCTTGGTGTAATAATAGATCAAAATCTTAAATCGAAGCAACATGTGCTTATGTTAACTAACAATCTACGAAAACTAATTAGAAAATTTTACATGATCAGAGAAATTTTAAACAATCACTTATTAATCTGTGTCTCTAAAGCCCTAGTGGAGTCATTACTCAGATATGGGATAACTGTCTGGGGAAGTTTATATGAGACAGCATTAAAACCTTTAAAAACTATCCAGAATTACATGTAAAAATATTTTTAGAAAAAACAAAAGTTATCCTACTTGTCATCTTTATAGTGCAAAAATACTTGCTGTAAGACCATTGTATATTTTAGAAGTCTGCTCCTTTCTGTATAAAAATCTTTCAATAAGAGAATATGTTAGTCATCCTTATTCAACCAGAAACAATGCTGATAGAAATCTAATAATACCCAATAGTTTCACAAACATAAACTTAAGATCAATTGACTATATTGGTCCGAAAATCTAAAACATTGGCTGGGACACTGAGGATGATGAATAAATTAAAGTTCAGACTGAAAATCATTTGTTGTGGCAAACCTTCATAGGTACATATAGCTCTTCGTTAGCTAAATATGCAAATGTTTTCATCATTTTTTTATGTTTTTTTTTTAGGAATTGAAATTTTGAGTTGGTTGATTTTTGTCCTTGTTTAAGTGGCTACAAAGTAATTGGCATGACATTATAATTATATAGATTATCAAATAATTATTTGACCTGGATTTATTTTGTTTTATTTCACTATTTTATTATTAAAATGTTACATTACACATTATTTAAGATTGGTGCATATGGATATTAAGTTATCTAGGTACCACATAAGAAAAACTATACATGTTTTATTTTAGTGTAATATATAAAACCACTGTATATATCGTGTTGTATTGTATTGTATCAACATATATGAAACACATCAAATTCACGGTTTATAATTTCTTGCTGTGCTATTTTTCTTTTAACCCTTAACAGCAAACGTGCATTTATGGTACCTAAGAGGAAATATGCTGTAGAGTAAGAGGAAAAAGCTGCAAATAACTTTGCTGACACTAAAATTTATAAATCTGGTTTGAACTACATGTCGAAGTAGCAAATTTTTACTGCACGCCACTGGAGGCAGTAACATTCTATGAGTGCTTCAATCTTTTCTTGGTCGCAAGGAAGTCAATTTTATGCAACAGTATGAGAAAGTATACTCATTCTCAAGAGAAACCCCAAAAAAATCCCTTTTTAGGGATAAATGTGATTTCACGAAAAAAAAAAAATTTCCTAAATTGCAGAGAGTATCGTGCACCGTACCCGATAGACTTCTTTCTTTGGAGCTGGGGTGTAAGACCGTTTGTAACAACATTTTGATACTGATTATAATAGCTCTTGTTGTGTACTTTGAACCCTGAAAAGCACATCGACGCACTTATGCAGGTTTTCACGCAAAAAATTCACGACAGGCCTGTTTGTTATGAGTTGAGGTGTACAACTAGCTTTAGACACAAACCTAAATAGCATAAGACTCGTAGGCACAGACAGAATATATATAATTACCGCGCTCACCTCGTATGCGCGTCACGGGCTTCTATGAGTAACACTACTGCCACGGCGTATCGCAGGTCCACTGTAATCTAGCGACAGGTAGGATTGTGGTGCCAGCTTTTGGAGCTACCTTCACACGCATAAAATTTTCCATGTTGCAAAGCAATTGTCCACCAGTTTATATTAATACATTAGTGGATTTTACCTGTATTAAATGGCAGTCACTGACATTGAATGTCATTCCCTCCGATGAAACATCCCTTCTAGATTGTTTCTTATCATTGCAGATCGAGATTGCTTCTAAATATAAGGTGAAAATGGTGTGCTGCTTATTACACCCATTATTGCTATTCGCATCTCGTACCTAAAATAGTGCAATATAATAAAAGGAAGTTACAAAACATCCAATAAAAATACCTTCACAATACCTGTTACTGTTACGTCATCTCCAGGTATACAACATTTAACTAAATCTTCAGTGAGCTCACAATCTAATGATCGTGGAATTCTAGCACTATCACACTAAAAAATAGGAATGTAATATAAGATAAAGTAAAATTTAAAAACATCCGATTCCAAGACAAATATGGTATGAGAACAATTTTATAAATTTGATAGTTAATTATTATTATATGGTGATTTATTCTACCTGTTCGTTACCCATTAACTCCTGTATCTTTATGCTCTGCCAAGTAATGATCCTGTTGTATGGTGAGATATGCAGAGGTATAAAGTTCTTTTGACTGTGACATCCTCTTGTCAAACATTTTGTAGGAAGTGTATACCCACCGTCACTTTGTGTGATCATTTGTGTACCCTCACATGAAGCACATTGGAAAGCTAAATACTGACAAACTAACTTCACTTGGCCAGCTTTTATTACTGTTCCTTTCACTGTGACAAGTTTGCTATAATAATTTACTTTCAGGTCTTTCAGTTGTACATGTGGTTCAACATTTATGATTCTAGCTTGTATGATTGGTACTTGTACATAATTATCTGCATGTATTTCTTCATGTCTATCAAGAATAAATTGATTCATAGCCAGGCCAAGGCATTTCATACAGTAATCACAGTTATCGATCACAACCTCACTGAAGTTAGGCCAATCAATTAAAAGTTGTTCATCTTCTAGGAGAATATTGATATCAATTGTAAAAAATTTGTTAATAACTATGTCTTCGATTGAAAACAAAGATTTATGGTTTCCAATGAACTTAAGCACATATTGGAGGTGTTTGAGAAGCCTGTCCACATCTGCAGCTGTAAAAATAGCAAGTCAAAATTTTCAAAACAAAGGATGAACTGGAATGTTAGACTCACAATCTTCTGGGAAGTATGCCCTAAAACACTGAAATCCATAATTGGGAAGGTTATCAATTGTGCTTATCTCATCAAAGGTCTTGTCTGCTGATGATTTTTTCTTTCTAAACCAAGGTTTTGACATGCTGATACTGATTGACGATAGGTTCAACTTCGTTGAAATCACAAATATATTATACACGTTTCAAATTCGAAATGACGGTTGGTCAGGAAATGGTCTGTCAAATATCACCTGTAGGTCAAGGACGTTCAACTCGGTATCACTGCTGCTATTCTGTAATAAAGACAGCCCTATACTCTAATAAGGTCAATAATATAATCCAGAGAGACATATTTCCCGAAATTGTTAACCAACGCTTAAAAATGCATATGAAAATTGCAAAACTGGTGGCAGTATGTCCCAAATGGCTTCTTAAATTACAGTCATCCGTATCCAAACTGTAAATAAATTCAGCTGACCTTGGCATTCTTGTGACCTGGAATGAGGTGTTGCCGCCTCACCCAATGCTATAGTTGCAGCAGCAGCAATACTGAATCATCAAGTTTGAAGTGTGTTAATGCTAGTCAAACATATTCAGCACTTGAGATTAGGAGCGTGTGGTCAAGAGTTGGTCTCTCACGGCTTCTCTTTGCACGACGGATAGACGTCAATTTTGCAGTTTTGTATTATGTATTCTCGTCAATGGACGGTAATACCGCACGTGAGTTTCCCCAGTGATAGACTATCAATTCTAGAACCACCTTAAACTACGGTCATTTCTGTCTGATACTTGTGTGTACAACAGGAACAGACTGGTATATTACCGTCATTACCTCATATCGGGCAACCAATAAGGAAGCCGAAGCAGTGTCAGCTGTATCAGAAAATATTTAGAATCTTATAGACGAGAATGGAAAAAGGAGTTTCAATGATGGTTGCAAGGGAGTTTGAAGAGCAACCAGTATGCTCATTGTCCAAGTTGTAATAAAGACCTCAATGTTTTTTTTTCAGGGACAGATGCACTAAAAAACCACCTGTGTTGTGCATGTGGTCGCAATACAAAATATACTTTTTTTCATAGAGGGAGTTGCGGGACACAAAGTTTCTTGATCCACCGCTGATCTTGGGTGATCCTTGAATCTACCGAATTTCGTCTTTTTCGGTTCGGCAACACTGCTGATGACTGTAATTCACGGAGTCATTTGAGACATACTGGCACCAGTTTTGCATTTTTGAGCGTTGTGCAACAATTTCGGGAAAAAAAGTCCCTGTGGATTGTCTTATTGAGCTTAGTAGAGTATATTTATTTTCACAGTTGTCTTGTACTCGTATGTCGATGTTTGTTCAACTCGGGATGACCTTATTACAGAATAGCAACAGTCATGTCGGGTTGGTTGAACGTCCTTGACCTACTGGTCATATTTGACAGACCATTTCGTGACCTAACCTACGACCAAATCGGACCAAATGAAAAGCCTTCTTGTGAATTATTTATAATCAACATAAACTTTTCCAGCTGATTAAAAACATTGGAATGAATGCTGATATGGAGACAGATAGTAAAGAAAATGATAAAGAAGCATATTATTCTTTAAAAGACTGTTTTCATGATATTATCAAAGGCAAAAGTTTAGAACTGGATCTAAAAACTTTGGAATACTTTTTAAGAAATAACTTGGAGGTATATTATTATGATGGTATGAATCCAATGCTGAGATCAATCCTACCTTATATGTTGGTTGTTTTCATGAAGTCATGGCCTGGCTGGCAAAAGCTAAGTCGACTTATCAAGAGGGAAATTAGCTTTGATGATTGGTTTAGTAAATTTGAAAGATATTTAATATACAAAATCAATTACACTGTAAAAACTGAATTTGATAAAGCTATGTTGTTAATAAAAAATCTCCAGCCTATAGATGATAGCATATTGTTCAAAATTGATAATGCTACACAAACTGGAAATGAAAATACTAAGGATGTTTCTCCAACATTAATACAAGTTGAAGGACCTGCAAAACTCCTGAACTCTATATTGTTTTGTGAGACAGGTGAAGGTGAGTGTAATATCAATTTGTCATTGTTTATTTAGTCCTTAATACTTTAGGCTATTCTGGTATTCTAGAATGACCACCAATTCATAATCAGTTTACTTGGGTTCTGATATTACAGGATAATTACTGGTTGCCTCTGATTCATGCTTTTTTTATCAGTAGTGAAATTATACTCAACAAAATAGCTTAGCTGGTGGGAACAGCAGATATAGTCCCATACATATTAAAGAAACATACACAACTCTAATGAGATAGTTGAAGGTAGCAATGCTGTGATAATTCATTTTTTATTGGTGTAACAGAAGTGTAGTTCAAAACTAACAAGAACCGTAATTTTTGCATATTCATACATCAGCATTATCCACCTGATATGCTGATATAATCAGCCTATATGCCAATCTAGGCTGAGCAATATAAAGTCTAATGTTAATAATGTACTATTGAATCGAAAGAATTATAAAATACATAGAAAACACATATTTTAATTGAAGTAACTAGAAGTAAACTCTATTTGTTTGAATCATTACAGTCATTTTGAGATATATGAATCATTTAATAATTGCATTTTGGTTTCTGTGATGTTGAGAAAGGTGATACTTGATATTTCATTTGTGTGCTATTTTTCTCCAAAGAAATCTCTTTAATTTATTTAAACACAATAATACAAAATGTATAACCGTTTTAACAATAATTCTCCAATCAGTGCTTGCAAACAATAATCTATATCTATAAAGTATACAACAGCGGTGTTCCTCATAATTTCAACAAATAAATTAATTAACATTTTTGAAATCTTCCAATTCTCTTACAAAACTTCTATAGTTATTAAAATCTTTTATAGAATGATGTAAATTATCAAATACAAAACTGCCTAAGGTTAGTACAATTGGGATAAGCTTCCTCTTGTAGATTGTTCCACAATCTCGACACCCTCGGGACAAAGGAGCGGTCGTATCGGCCAGTTCTGGATGTACGAAGGTCGACACTATTAGCATGGAAGGCCAACTTCAGGCGGGTCTGTCTGTCAGGCACATCGCGCGGCGGCATCATGGAAGAGAGCTCTGAGGAGCAAAGCCCGTTGGTATAGCGATAGAAGAGAGCCAGATCGCTGACAGCCCGCAGATGCGAAAGGGTCCAGAAACCGTCTGTTAGAGAAGAGTCATCGATCAGTCGGACAGCCCTCCTCTGGACAGCATCGAGCATAAATAATGTAGTCGGGGCGGCTTTCTATAGAGTGCGAAGGTCATGAGGAGAAAAGTATTTCTTAGCACTAAACAAATAGCCTAGCCTTTTCCCAGCAGCTGCCGCTATTCACGAGATGTGTTCGTGCCAGATCAGGATCTCGGTGATCTGGACTCCGACCAGCCGAAATGAGTGGCTCTTTGGCGGAACTCGGTCATCCATCGAAACCGGACTCTTTTTGTTCTTCAAGGTACAGTATTGTGTTTTGGAAGCATTAAACTGTAGAAGATTGTTGCGGCCCCAAGCAGTGATAGCCTCCAGGTCTCTCGTCAGAGAGTAAGTCGTCGCTAGTCTTCTTTTTCCAGCTCAGCGGCGGAGATCGGCTTGTCACTCTAAATTCCTGCATGTAGAGTGCTGTCATCAGCGAAGCTGTGGATTGGGTTTATCGTGTAGCAAAGGAGGTTGTTCATATGTAAGAGGCACAGTGTCGGAGCCAAGACCGATCCCTGGGGAACACCCGCGTTGACGTTGTGGGATGAAGAGGAGAACGCGTCAATTACGACGGATATCTTGCGGCCCGAGATAAAATCCGCCACCCATCTGCAAAGCTTTTCTGTGAGGCCATAGGATGGAAGTTTGCTTAAGAGGCCAGCGTGCCACAGCTGATCGAACGCTTTCGTGATGTCAAGACCAACGACATGAGCCTCACTATAAGACTGGATGAGTTTTCTCCACAATTGCGTGACGTAAGCTAGGAGGTCCCATGTGGATCGCTGGTGCCGGAAACCATACTTCCTGCCGCTAATCAAGCTGTGACGTTCGAGATAGTCCAGAAGCTCGCGATTTATGCACCTCTCCATCACCTTACTTAAAACAGAAAGTAGAGCTCTGGGCCTGTAGTTGCAAGGGTCGGTCTTAGATCCCTTTTTGCGGTGGTTTGGACATGAGCAAATTTCTGGGTTGGTGTCGGATTTATAAGATATCTGGAAGAGACGCGCAAGAACTGGAGCAAGCTCAGCTGAAAACCTCTTCAGTACAGTGACAGGAATAAAGTCCGGACCAGAAGCTTTGTTAATGTCGAACAACAAAAGCACTCGTCTTACGGTCTTATGCCTGAATGTTACCTCCCGGATAGTGTAGGGAACCCTTGACGTGGGCGTTTGGGGGGACGACCATGATGGAGTTGGCAGCAAGATCCTGGCAAGCACTTTTGCCTTGGCTTTTGGGTCGGATACAATAATTCCATCCTGACACGTAAGTGGTGGAAGGCTACTGTGTGAGAAGTTCTTTTCAATCTGCTTGGCCAGCGTCCAGAAAGACCGACTGCCATCGTCCTGCGACATTACCCTGTACCTAACTTTTATATCGTGCTGGTCTTTGGCATTGCGAACCGCTTTGTGTCACACGATTTGTTAAACCAGCCGTTGGACCCTGGTTAGGCACTTTCACTGTATGAGGGATGTATTCCTCCATTCCGACGTGGATAATTTCACTTATCGAAAACCAGGCAGTCGACCCATCCGCGTCAGTGAAACAGACATCTCTCCAAGGAAAGGTAGAGAAGAAGTCTCTCAGCCCCTCCGAGTCGGCATGTCCGTAATGCCAAATTTTGCGGCCTGTGCGAGTTTCTGCAGCCACAGCGGGTTCTGACCGAAACCTAACCTCCACAACACCGTGGTCTGAGTTGCCCAGGGGGGGACAGGACATCAGTGCTGTAAGAGACAGGATGTGTGGTCAGAAAGAGAGATCCAGCAGGCTACTGGCATGTTACGAGACTCGGGGAAAAAAAATAGGGCTCGTCACCAGCTGGGTCAGCCCTTGAGTAAGAGCTGCACGACCTTCTGCATCGGTCTTGTTTGAGCTAAAGCTCATTATGGTCAGTGAAATCACCGAGGAGAACTACCTCTGAAGCGGGGTGATTGATGTTCAGGAAGTCGATCTTGACGGCAAGGTATTGAAGTAGGTCAACCCAGTTATGGTCCGAGGGAGAGCGATAAAGGCAGCAATAAATTTGGGGATGTTTTGGAGTTGAGGCGAAGCCACAGAATGTCCTGGTCTGATTTCAAAGAAACATCTCTGGAGCAGGAACGGCTGCTGCGGACAAAGGCCAAAATTCCCCCGTTCTTTCTCAGATTGGAGTGCACCTCGTTTGGGAAGCTAAGATGATTAATAAGTGCATATTCTGAGATTTTTGTCTCCGCCAAGAGATGCATGGCGGGACCATTGGGTTGCAGGTAGTGATGAACAGCATCAATGTCGCTGTTAATCCCGCAGATGTTCGTGAAACAAATTTTATCTTCGATATTGTTCCCTCGAGTCCAACCTCCACCCGGACATTCTGAGAGTGGAGTGAGTTTACGTCCGGAATTCTTAATAATCGAGGGATCCATCATCAATAATTTCTTTGTTTTGAAGATAACCGACTGCATAGCTAGGTGTGGAAACATTATAAGACACCCTGGGAAAAGCTAGCCGGTGGTACCGCCTCCGTGGACTGCGTGTTAATGATGAATGAACGGGGAGACGCGGTATACTGGTTATAACTTCCGGAACAAGGATTTGCCACGGCCCCGCTTAGAAGGGGTAATATTTATGTTACTTTTTTGTAGAACATTTATAATTTTATAAACAAGTTTACATTGCTCCACCTCCAATATCACTCTTAATTTGTTTAAATTTAAATTTTAATAAATTGTATTAGAATTTGTAAACCAAACAATATTTTCAAAATTTTATTATGCAAAACTTGAGCTTATTGAAATCAACTCCACATACCTCGTACTGGCAAGAGGTACCTAAAATGTGTGAGAAAGAAGGCATTATACATTTGAAATTTGCTTTTGTTAGACAAATAATCTCTACTCTTATATAATACGCGTTTATTGCCCAACAGTTTTAACACCATTTACAGAGCAAACTACTATAAAAAAAACAAAATCACCATGAGGTAGCTTGTGAAGAAAAAAAACAATAATAATTCATGTATCAATAAAAAAAAATAAATATAGCTACAGCTTAAAAATAAGAAACGTAAGATAAATCAAAAGTGAGCACGCAATTTGCACTTCAATTCACCTATGCTACATAAGAATATGTCACATACATCGGCTATTTTATTCGCATTCACACACATCATGCTGACAGGCGCTTTCGACAATAAGTTTGTTTGAGCTCTTTGACATAAAAAGGAACATTATACCTTGATGTTAGTCGTGGTACCAGAAACTGTATTTGTGAAAGTATTGTAGGGCAGTCTATTAGATTATGCAGTAATTTATATAAAACTATAACTGCTGATTGCTTACGCCGTTGTTCTAAGGATTGAATGCCAAATTTATGAAGAAGGATGTTGTATTCTGTACCTCTAGTAGGATATATGCCATCGATCTTAAAACATGAAAATTTTAAAAATTTCTTTTGAAGTTTACCAACAACATCAATATACTGCTTGTAAATCGGACTCCATATCAAAGATCCATATTCAAGCTTAGACCTAACTTCACTGCGCTTCAAGAACATGTTCGATCAATGTATAATTATATACCATGGGGTTGGTTTTCCTTGAAAAAGTTACTACTTTACACTTACTTATATTAAGATGAAGTTGATTCTTGGCACACCAGCTTTGCAATTTATTTATTTGACCTTGAACAAATGCACAGTCTTCCAAGCATGAAACGGATGAATAAAATTTTAGGTCGTCTGCGAACATTAACTTAAAACAAGCCAAAGATTCACACAGATCATTCACAAACAATATGAACAACAGTGGTCCTAAATTCGAACCCTGTGGTACGCCACTGGTTGAGACATAAACATGTGATATGTAGCCATTATAAAAAACATACGGTTTCCTTTCAAACAGATATGATGTTAAGAGCGCTAAGTAAATGTTGTTGAAGCCCAGGTACTCAAGCTTTCGGAGCAAAATACTGTGGCTGACCCTATCGAAGGCCTTGGAGAAATCGGTGTACACCACATCTACCTGTCCTCTATTGTCTAATCTATCGCACAAGTATTGGCTAAATACCATTAAGTTTGTTAGTGTTGAACGCTGCCTTATAAAACCATGTTGGTCGATGGAAATATTATTTTTAGTGGACAGGTAAATGCGGTTGTACAGTACGATCTCCAAGAGTTTTGCAAAATTGTTGAGTATAGATATAGCCCTATATTCACTGATACAGGGATAATTTTTTGACTTTGGAATTGGGCAAACTTTGGCAATTTTCCATTTATCGGGGAAAACAGTCGTTGTTAGGATTAAATTGAAGATATCCAGATATAAGGCAGATAGCATTGAAACTATTTTATCAGAATTCCATTTAAGTGTAGTGACCAATGTCATCTGCAAAGGTAAAATATCTTGCGCTTAGATTGGTCAACTTGAGATTCAGTACAAGAAGACTGTATAACAGAGGTTCAAGAACTGACCCCGGGGGTAGATAACCATTCACTATCAATGTCTCCAAGCTTTATGTACTGTTTTCTGTCATATGAATAAGTCTTAATCAAGCTGTACAAAACAGCTCTAAATCCCATTTCAAACAATTTATCCAAAATATTGTCTTACTTACTGCGTCAATGAAAGCAGCTATAATTATTTGTTGTTTATCTAGAGCCATTAAAATGTAATCCACAAAATCAACAACCAGATTAATTGTGCTACTTTTCGTTGAAATTCATCAATCAATAGATTGCGAGTATCAATGAAAGATAACATTATTTTTTTATCAATTTCTCCATGATCTTACCACTGAAATAGGCGTGTAATTGTTCCTACATTTTGTATCACTTTTTTTATTAGTAACTTAATTAAATATTCCTAGACAGCACTAGTTTTCATTATTTTCTTCATTTTCATACAATATTTCACTTCATGCAACCAAAACAATCAAATAAATGCTCTGACTTGCACACAAGGTGTGTATGAAAAAGTGTATGTGCAGAAATGTTTGAATTTCCACCCTGTCAAATCTACAAGTCAGGCCTTGTCCTACTGCACATCTAGTATGTGCATATGGTCTCTGAAGTCTTTTTCAAATCTATTTTTGTAACTGTAACATCTGAACGTTATTATGTGGTTTTCATGTCGATAATCCCCCTTTTTTGTCTGAAAATCAGACATCTTTGAAATTCTTATTTAATGTAGTATACGTTTAGATCATCTCAGTGATTTCTTCGGTACATGATGTTATTACTTTTACATTTTTCAATATATGCTACACCCTCAGCTCTATACCGGACGTTTCATTTTCGACCCTCACCATTGGGATCTCGGAAACGGTAAGAGATAGGAAGTGACTTAAATGAGACAAAGTTGCTTATTTAGGTAACTAACAAGATGCTGCTTAGAAAGTTTTGAAATTCAAAGTACTTCCGGAGGGAGGCGGGATAACCGAATTTTCCCAAAATCATTTTAATTTTTTTTTGCTATTACTATTCTATACAGGGTGTCCGCAAAGTTGGGGTTGTCCTTTTCAGAAACAACTACCCTTGAAA